ATTTGCATCATTTGTTTTCCCAGCATCCCTTCAGGGACTTTAGAGACAAACCTCCCCAGATGATTGGTGAAGAAACGAAGCATGGTGAAATTTAGCTTTTGAAGCTTCGTAAGCCCCAGTCCCCACAGAGTGAATTAAGACTCGTGTTTCTTCAGCAAAATGTCAAATACCTTAAGAGTATATTTAATATTCTCTAACTAATTTAGCTGACAGATCCTAATAAAATGCTTCCCTGGTTCGTTTTACCCATCGAAGCTACCTGTTTCATACACAATACATTTAAAGGGAGAAGAAGCGGGGTGGGGGGCAGGGGGTGGGGAAAGATAACTTTAATTAATCCCCGGAGGACCAGAACTAACCACTTTATCATTGGAATATTGACAATAGGGGCAAATAGCAATGATCACATAGGGCATTTTATTCCAAGTTGTTCCCATTTTTCTGAGATGGAAGTTCTAGTTCAAAGTCACGATCCATAGCTAGGCCAGGATGTGTCCTTCCCTTGGCCAAAGTGAATTAAGTGTTTTCTCAGCTCCCACCTACAACCCACTCTGCTAGTTAATGGTTCTCCTTGTGTGACTTGGCCCCAAAATTAGGAAGTCTAGTTTCTTTGGCGCTGTTACTCTGACAAATTCTTTAATTGGGTGTTTAGAGTCATTGTCAATATTAAGTAATTTTCAATGTCCTCAAGATAAATGGTGTGTGTGTGGGGGGGGGAGGCTTGTCAGTCTTTTCTAGAAAAATTAGGCCTTGCTCCTTACTGGCTGTTCCCTCCCTGTGTCCCATGCTCAAAATGTCTGGATCCTGGCATCTCTTCTTCGTCAGTTTTTTTTTTTTCCATTCAACCTTTTATTTTTTAAATCATTTTATTAGGGGCTCATACAACTCTTATCACAATCCATACACACATCAATTGTGTAAAGCGCATTTGTACATCATTCTCAAAACATTTTCTCTCCACTTAAACCCCCGGCATTAGGTCCTCATTTTTCCCCTCCCTCCCCGCTCCCCCCTCTTCTTCAGTTTTGATGACATTTTATAAACATGTAAATAATCACAACCCTAAGTGTATTCCTTTGAAGATGATGTGCCTGTCATTGTCAATGGCCCTTCATTTTCCTCCCTCCTTCACTTTTACCATCTTCAGCTCCTTATCTCTCAGTGATCCCCAAGATCACAGATAAAACCTCACTCTGTCCATCCCACTGCTCTTAGAATCAAGTCCCCTGTCTTTGCTATGGCCTACAGGCCCTGACCCCACCACCCAAGTGGGGCCCAACTATCCCTGTTCTCCTTTTCTACAGGAACAAAGTAGCTATTTAGTAAATGTCTGGTGATGGAATGAATGAGTGAATGAATGAATGATTTGAGTTTTTTCTGTCTTATTTCCAGGGAAGCAATATCCTTTTTTCTTGGTAAAGTGCCCTCCTGTGCTTCAATTTTCACATATGTAGGATAGGAATAATAATATCGGTTGAGGAAGTTGTTGGGGGGGACTAAATCAAATGAAATCCAACAGGACCAAATAGGTAACAAGCCTTCGGTGAGGGCTGAGATTCCAATTCTTGCCTTGGAATTATCCTGGGCAGTCTTTAGAGAGTTTTAACATTTATCTGTTGATGGGTGTGTGTTGTTTGTGCGAGTTATCTACATTCATATAGTCCCTGCAGAGAAAGGGAGGGCAGCTTTGAACTGTGTACTGAACAGTTTGTATTTCCACCTTTGAAGCCCTGGAGCTGCAGAGATAGAGTGGATGCCAGGCGTAGATTTGAGTGTCTCTCCACCACTTGTGGGGCTTGCACACCGAGAACTAAGGCAATGAGTGTATAGGAGGTGGTGCGTAAATAGCACGTGAAGTGGTTGAGATGCTCTGGGTGACCATGGCAGTGTGACAACCACTGCTCCGCTTTGCCCTTGAAGACCATTCTTTCACAGGCTGGTGGCCTTCTGAGTATTCTGGAGTGAAGGTCAGTTACTAGAGTTAGTGCCTGGGGGTGGGGGTGGGGGTGGGGCAGGCCTGAACTAAAGGATGCTAAAGCTAGTATTGGAGGCATGGTCTTGTCCTTTAAGGAGCCCCGGTGGCTAGCAGTTTACACATCGACTGATGGCAATGTTTGTTGTTGTTGTCTTGTTTTTTAATGGAGATATAAAACGAGGGGGTGACTCAAAGAGAACACCTTTTTATCATGTTTGGTCGTCCGTTATTGAAGGTGCTCAGGGAGGTTATGGAATTGAATTGTGTTTTTTTGTTTTACCCATGAAGAGCAGCGGAGTGATTTGGCTGTAGGCACAGAGACTTCTGCAAATGGGGGATGGGGGACACTCCCTCTCTATCCACAAGCTAGGAGCCAGCAGCCCAGGGTATCTTGTTTACATCCTTAAAACCGCAGGAAATTCTTGGTATTCGGTCCCACGCCCCAGTGGCACAGGGTAGGGAAGAACGTAAAACCAGGACGTTGTCTCCGGCAGACAGAAAAATTAGGTGACTTGCCCAAATCTGCCATGTCACTTAATCTACCAAACGCTGAAAGGGAGCAGTAGATAGGTTGGGGACGCAGGCTTAAGGGGCGGGTAGTTGGCCTGGGCTAAAAATCCATCTGGTCAGACCTCATTCTCTGAGCCTCAGTTTACGCATCTGTAGAAAAGAGACGGCCCCGGTGGTGTCTCTAACCCTTCACAGGGGCCGTCGTTAAGAATGGAACGTGCTGAGAAGCAGGCAGTAAACTTGTGTGGTCACTTCCAGAGCCCCCTGGGTGTGACGGCTGACCCTTCGCTTCTCAACTGCCTGGAGCCCAAGAATCCCCATCTGTAAGGGCCATCTGAGGTTCTGAGCCTCCAGGATTTGCAGGGAAGGTGCAAGGCTTCTGCAAACGCTCTGGAAGCCAACCAGCCAGCCCCAGGCACAGTGGGGTCCACGTCCAGCCGGCTGCCTGGCTCAGACGAGGCTCCCCAGCAGTGTCGGAGCAGGCGGAGGCGAAGGCGGAGCCAGCCGCCTGAGCGGGGCTGTCATTACCAGGTGGCCCACCCCTGTTCCCGGAGTGGCTGGAGCTCCGCGCGAGGGGGGCACCCGAGTTGGGATTCGCTGCGGCCAGCTGCGCCCCGCCTCCCGCAGGCCCGGACGCCGCCCCGCCACCCCC